CAGGGGGTTGGACTGGGTGACCCACAGAGGTCCCTTCCAACCCCGACCATTCTGTGATTCTGTGATTCTGTGATTCTGTGAACCACTGGTCCCATCCCGGGCAAAACACTGGCACCAGTGGCAAGGTGGCTGTGTCTGGGTGTGCTTGGGACAGCCTGCAGAGGACGGCTTCCCGTGCCAAGGATGCTGTCCCTCCGACCACGGTGCCCGGCGGGTGACGTCCTCCACAGGGGACAAAGCTGCTCGTGCACTGAGAACATGTACCACCACCCTTGGGTCCCACACGTAGGGGACTGTCCCCGTCCCAGCAGCCTGGCACACGCTACCGAGCTTGGAGAAGGTGGAGGAGGTGGTTTTGAGATTTCTCAAGCGCTGCCAGGGCTGAAATACAAGGGGTACCTGGGAGCACAGCCCAGACCTCAGCACAGCCCCCTTGGCGTCGCAGTGTCACCCACCTCCCAGGAGTACCGTTGTCCCCAGCTGTCACCCAGACCGGTTACCACGGAAACCGTTCATGAGGTGCTCATGACGCGGATCCATCTCCCGCCATGCCTGCAAACCCAGCGGCCGCAGGATGCTCGGGAGGATGCCTTGGCTCCCTCGGGCCACGGGCAGGCAGAGGCGGCCGAGGCACATGGACCACAGAGAGCAAAAATCCCAGCTCCCCGCTGAGACACCACGACGGCCAGCGTGCCTGAACGCTTCATGTCCACGAGGTCTTGGTGTTTTGAGTTTTAACATCAGCAGCGGTGGGCTGGTCTTGCAGGAGGCATTGCTGCCTGGGACACAGTGAGACCGTCGGCAGCTCAGGTGACATCTCACCAGCTTTCATAGGAGAAACGCCCTGGGTTTCATCACCCCACATTCCTTTCTTCTCCCCATTTTGGAAGGAATCCACCGGCCTGCAGCAAACCTTGTACCAAACATGCAAAAAGTAAAAGATCCTGGGAAACAATGAAGAGGAAACGAACCCAAGGTGAGACTGAGCAATTAGAGCCCATCAAAGACATTGCTGGCTTTTATTTGTGGATGTGTAGGCCTGGTTCATAATGAGGAGTATTGTAGTGGTTTTCTTGTGGTGCGAATTGCCAAACAAAAAAAAAAAAAAACACGCAAAAAAAATGATCTTACACATCTGCATGAAGACAAAGTGATGGCCTAAAAAGCAGCGAAATAAAGGGCTGTAAAAGGAAGTGCGAGAGCAGAGCTTCCAGGCCTGAGACACCTCATTAAACTGTGATTAAAAAGAAATCTCTGTCTGTTCTCACCTAATTTCCTGCCTATTGACGGAGGATTATTCAGCACTGGCGGTGGGATTAGTGCACAGCCGCTCGCTTGCAAAGGGGATCTTCCTGCCACCTTTATCACTGTTCTCCCTTGCTTATTGTAGGGACGCTCTCTGTGACCGGTTTGTCACGTTCCTGTGTGCATGGCCAGGACCACACAAGCTGATCTGGGGGGACAACAGCCTGGATGTTGCTCCTGGTGCTGGGTGTGTTGTCTCCAGGCAGGAGCCTCACAGCTGGCAAGAGACGCCAAGAGGAGACAGGGCTCCCAGGCACCTCCATCCTCAGGCAGCTGGCGTGGACCTGCTCTCGCAAGATCCTTTTCTCCAAGAGGTGCTGCAGGACAAGCCAGATCAAACGAGCTTTGTCGCCCCAGAGGAAGAAGCAAGGTGGAGGAGATGGTACAGTAGATTTGTCGCTGTCCTCCAGGAGAGATGGTTGGTGGGACACACAGCTAGGCTGCCAGGCTTTCCCTGCTCATGGGCAGCAGCTCAGGCATGGGCAGCCTGTGTGCTGCCTGTGTGACAGCAACCTGAATGCCCAGTGCTGGTGTCTGTCTAGGGGAGAATCACAGAATCATAGAATTGCTAAGGTTGGAAAAGACCTCTATGATCATCAAGTCCAACCATCAAGCCAACCCCACCATGCCTGCTAAACCATCTTCTGAAATGCCACAGCTACACGTTTTTTGAACCCCTCCAGGGACGAGGACTCCCCCACTGCCCTGGGCAGGCTGTTCAATGCCTGATCACTCTTTCAGGAAAGAAATTTTTCCTAATCTCCAATCTAAAGCTCCCCTGACGCAACTTGAAGCCATTGCCTCTCATCCTGTCGCTGGTTACTTGGGAGAAGAGACTCAACACCCGCCTCATTACACTCTCCTGTCAGGCATTTGTAGAGAGCGATGAGGTCCCCCCTCAGCCTCCTCTTCTCCAGACGGAACAGCCTCAGCTCCCTCAGCCGCTCCTCATCAGACTTGTTCTCCAGCCCCCTCCCCAGCCTCGCAGCCCTTCTCTGGACACGCTCCAGCCCCTCAATGTCCTTCTTGTAGTGAGGGGGCCAGAACTGAACACAGCACTCGAGGTGCGGCCTCACCAGTGCTGAGTACAGGGGCCCGATCCCCTCCCTGCTCCTGCTGGCCACACCATTCCTGATCCAAGCCAGGATGGCATTGGACTCCTTGGCCACCTGGGCACACCACTGGCTCGTGTTCAGCCGGCTGTCGACCAGCAACCCCAGGTCCTTCTCCGCTGGGCAGCTCTCCATGCAGCCTGGAGTGTTGCATGGGGTTGCTGTGACCCAAGTGCAGGACCCGGCACTTGGCCTTGTTGAACCTCGTACAGTTGACCTCAGCCCATCAATCCAGCCTGTCCAGATCCCTCTGGACCAAGGGGTCTGGCATCTGCAGCAGAGCTGCCAAAAAGGATGCTCCAACGTTGGTCCCTCCGGGGCTGGTTCACGCTGTGCTGTGCATGCCCAGCCCTGTCCTCCCTGACAGCCCCTGTGCTCTCTGGTTGCAGGCACTACCCCAGCAAGGCTGGCCATGGTCTGATGGACACCTGGTATGACAGCCCTGTGCCCAGCTACTCTCCCACCAGCCGGATGGTCCCCAGGGAGCATGGGAAGAGCTTCCAGACTGGTAAGCGGTGGCTGCTTCCCGGCTGTGCTGGCAGCCGGGGCTGGCCCAGGGTGCTCAGGGAAAGGAGCTGTGGTTCCAGCGGCAGCACAGAGGCAATGCTCGGCTTCCCCGGAGGGCAGAGGGGCTCTTGGGGGGGGCCTCTCGCTCCCTCGCTGCCTCCCCGCTC